TCGCTGGATTGGCAGAAGAGGTCCTACAGAATTTCCACCAAGTTCTTCGTATCTCACTCTTGAGGATTTCTTTCTATGGGGTAATTTGAAGTCTGAAGTGAATGAGATAGAATCAACAGCATTCTCATAACTCCCAAAATTCTCTACCATGTGCTATAGGCAATGGACGCTCGTTTGTACCATTGTATGCAAGTTGGTGGAAACGTTTTTGAACATTAACCGTAGAACATTTTTTTCTTCTCATTATCCAGTCATTAAATTTGGATTCGAGAATTATTAAAAAATCTCTCTTTCTCATTACTTGCTTCCATATTCGTCTTTGGAACGAATATTTCCAAAATGTGGCCTTCTATTTAATGCTAGGAAGAAACTCCAGATCCGTAAAATAGTGACACTGAAAACCTCGGCAGCGAAAGCCTTAACCATTTTGATCAATATGTGTTACCACATTCACCACAATTATTCACAATCTCTCAGAAAAAGCTACGATGTTAGCGAAACGCATCTAGAATGGAAAAGAAAATCATTTGTTATTCGCCAAGTCGTGGTCTGCGAATGACCGAGTTTTTGTGAGCGACGTGAAATCGACTGCCTCGGATCCTCCTGCACACTCTCACAGACGGTGGTGATGTAATTTATTAATTAATTGTAATGTAATTTATTATAAAAAGATACATTGATAGATGTAGCCGTTAATACGTGGTAGGAAATCATAATGAAGAAAAGAGAAATGAAACTTTCTATGTTTTCTACCATTTTTATCTGTAACTAATGTTACTGCAGTTTCGTCCTATACGGACATTTTTGAACTCATACTGAAACTCAGTATAACTGAGTATAACTGAAACTGAGTATAAATGAAGTATAAGTTTGAAAATGTCTGTATAGGACGAAACTGCAGTAACGTTAGTCACAAATAAAAGTGGTAAAAAACATAGAAAGTTTTATTTCCCTTTTCTTCATCATAAAAACATACATTTTCCAATTATAATACTCGTTTATATTCCAGAATCGTACAGTAATAAGGACCTACGATTAACGTGATAACGATGGTGAAGGTGAATATTTTGATTTCAATTTACTATTTATTTTCTATAATAAATTATAATAAGAATTTATAATAAGAAAAATAGATGATTGTGTACTTTTGAATTCACTTTAATAAATTAGTCCATTCTAAATTTTCTTTCAGGTCGTGAAAAATCAAAATACTCCAAAAAGTTCTGCTGTCAATCCCACTATTCCAAAATACTTGACCTTAGATGGTGATTAGGAGTGCTTTTACCGGATACAAATTCAATTTCAGCGAACTAACTTCCTATTAGTTCTACATAACTCAGACCTCCTGTCGTTCTAAAGCGATCCGTGTACTACATTTCTCGAGAACCCCTTGATCTCGTCAATTAGTCAGGTATGACTACCCTGAAATACTATTAGGTCTCTCCTTTGTGCGCGGAAAATACTTTGTGTTCCATCTTTTGATCTAAGATAATACAAGAGTGTCTCGTCTTTGCTGCGAAGTATGTATTTCAAACAACTCATTACTCCGAACTTATGGGCGAATGAAAGAATATCAAGGTAGAGGAAAAGACGCTTAGAATTTGCAATGATGGATGAAATGAAGTTTAGTTTTCTGAAGTTGGGCAGAAATCTAGAGAAATATCATCTTGAAACTGATTTTGTTTCGTATCTTCACGAAGTTTTCAAGATTGAGTTTTCTCAGCCCTGATTAGTTTTTTCAAAGTATTTTTGAATAAATCCAGAATAAAACACAATTTACTTAGTTCCAGTTACTCTGATAATGTTTCTTCACGAGTCTCTAGTTGACAGTTCCCCGTACGATATAAAGGTTATGAGTAATCTCATAGCTTGGAGCTTTTCAGTTTTTTTGTCTTTCAGTAACATTGATTGGTGACATCAGATATTGAAATTTTTTTCCTGTTCGGCGTATTTGACTAAAAAAGTCAACTGAAATGAACATTTGGTCTACGAACAAAGGTACAGTGTATGTCATATAGACTAATTGTCGATTACATTACACTACCAATATTCCCACACTAGAATACACAATGCCGGAAATGACTTTGCGACAGCATCTAGTCAGGCGAATTTTGAAACAGCTCAATATCAAATACGCGTCTGGCGCTATTGGAGTGCCCGTCATCGTACTTAAAAAAAAAGCGCAAATGAACTCGCACCAAGTATTTTGTAGACTTTTCAACCTGTCTTACAAGAGAGGGCTTATTCTTTGTTGTGAGATTGCTCGCGTTCAGCCCATTTGCATAAAGGGCAAGAATAATCTCCCAAATAACTATTTACTTATGATGCACTGTTTGGAACCTTTAGTGTAGTAATGAATATTACTGGAGACTTTTCCCAACACCAAATCGTTATTTTCGATACCTCGACACGTGTTTCGATCACCAAGTGATCATCTTCAAAGAGGAGTTTTTTTCCAACACCACATCGTTATTTTTAACACTTCGACACGTGTTTCGATCACCAAGTGATCATCTTCAAAGAGGAAGATTAAAACTAAGAACTAGTGCGAGCTAATCCTATTTATGCTATAAAGGTAACCCATACAGGTAATCCATCCAGGCGTACCAACCATACAGGTATACCAACCTAAATTAATTTCACAATTTTGCCTTATCTATTATTTTACAATATATGTTTATATAAAACAATTTTCAGCTATATAAAAATCAATTTCACAATATTGCCTATCCAAATTTATTTTTGCAATGTGTCCTTATGTAGTAAGTAATAAGTAAACCCAACAACATTATTCTATTTTATTTTTTAACAAGCTATATAGTATGCTCTTTGGTATAGGTCCGTCATCGTTATTCATAATATTATTGTGTTTACTTATTTCTACACTCTCATAGGCATTTAGTTTAGTGTTGTTGTTAACTTGTCTAAATAATCTCAACGAACTGAAGTCTATGGGATGGTTTTGTTGCAAAATATGATGGGAGACTGCTGATTTTTCAGGTCTTCCATATTTTAAGTGTGCTATGTGTTCCTTATATCTTACTTTAATAGATCTTTTTGTCAGTCCATAATTTTTGCATCGCAGTCCTTACATTCAATTTCGTAAATTCCAGACTTTTCCGAATTCTCGACTTTGTCTTTTGGACTTCTCAAAAGGCTCTGTAGTGTATGACTTGTTTTAAAAACCACCTTCATACCTAGTTCCTTGAAAATCTTCCCAAAGTTCCTCTTATATTGGTGGTATGGAACTGAGATGTATTTATCTTGGTTTTTGTCCTTTCTGAAAGTCGAGATTTCGTTCATTCTTAACCTAAACTTCTTTTTCCTTTTTATGTCTTCTAAAATACCCTTCGAGAAACCGTTAGTGGCTGCTATTTCCTGTATTGTACGTCTTTATTTTGTGAACCTATCATGTGTTAGAGGGAAAGTCAAAAGACGAAGAAATGGTTCTAACTCAGTTAGAAAATAAGGGACAACTACCAATACAGGGAATAGCAGCCACTAACGGTTTCTCGAGGGGCATTGTAGATGACATAAAGGAGTTTAGGTTGAGAATGAACGAAATCTCGACTTTCAGAAAGGACAAAAACCAAGATAAATACATCTCAGTTCCATACCACCAATATACGAGGAACTTTGGAAAGATTTTCAAGGAACTTTTGGGAAGTCCAAAAGACAAAGCCGAGAATTCGGATGAGTCTGGAATTTACGAAATTGAATGTAAGGACTGCGATGCAAAATATCATGGTAAGAAAAAAAGATCTATTGAAGTAAGATATAAGGAACACATAGCACACTTAAAATATGGAAGACCTGAAATATCAGCAGTCGCCCATCATATTTTGCAACAAAACCATCCCATAGACTTCAGTTCATTGAGATTAGTTAGATTGAGATTAGTTAGACAACAGGCAACTAGATTCCTATGAGAGTGTAGAAATAAGTAAACACAATAATATTATGAATAACGATGACGGACCTATACCAAAGAGTTTACTGATTAATATATAAGGACACATTGCAAAAATAAATTTGGATAAGCAATATTGTGAAATTAATTTTTATACAGCTGAAAATTGTTTATATACAGCTATAACAGTTAAACATATATTGTAAAATAATAAATAAGGCAAAATTGTAAAATTAATTATGTATGGTTAATGTATGGTTGGTACGCCTGGATGGTTTACCTGTATGGGTTACCTTTATAGCATAAATAGGATTAGCTCGCAAAAACTCCAATGTCACATTGGATTTGAATCGCTACTTTCGCACAGGCACCGCTCTGAGAACGCCTTAAAGATTTTTCTGTGGTGTTTTTGTTTTGTTCTTGAAAAAAAACTGAGGAATTGCATTCCACCGATGAATAAAGAATATTATCTGAGCGTTTTTCAGCGTTTGAGAGAGAAAGTTCATCGAAACAGAACAGATATGTGGAGAGGACACGCATAGCTTCTGCATAACGTATGATCTCATAAGGCTAGCAATGTGAACGAATTTTTGGCCAGAAACGCAACAAATCATATTAAACTCTCACCGTGTTCACCTGATATGTTTCCGGTCAATTTTTTTCCCAAAACTGAAATCACCACTTCGAAGCACTCTTTTCCAGTCGACAGATAACATGAAAGAAAAATCGCAGCAAGTATTGGAGTCGATTCCACTGAAGTCAATTACGTTTTTCGTTAGAGTAAGTGTATTATTCCGGAAGGACCTACTTTGGAGGCGATACAATAAATCTGTATGAATAATTCATGTTTTGTGATTCGTTGACCAATTCCTGGTACTTTTTTTATATGGAGGTTTCACACAGTAACTTTTCCCAAAGACATTTTGTCGGTTGGCCCGTTACTACACTTCAAATGATTCTCAACTGATTTAGCTTCGTTCATTTTACAGATTGTGGAAGGTTGAGTACCTCAAAAACACAAGAAACATCGACTTCCTACAAACTACCTAGTCTTTCAAGACTACAAACATAGTGAAAGCTAAATACTCACCATATCGACTATCCGGCAACAAAGGCGACTGACTATCGCAGCTCCTGTACCTTGAGCTGTGCGCCAGATCCTTCTTCCTAGGCAGCGTGCAAAAAATCTCGTTGATGTCCGAAACACTACCCCCCTCACTCGCGGCTTTCAAACCGACACAGTAAAACTTATTTTCTAAAAATCTGTTCTTCGGTGAACTCTCCAGGAGGTCGGGAAACTGTTTTTCCGCGTCTTCCGTTACCCTCGACAGTTCCTTGTTGGCGAACGAGGCGGCTGTTGGGGGTACGTACCGCCTTACGGGGGCGCCATGGAGGGGCGTTGACGGCGATATGGATACTGAAGAAGACGACGGGGAGAACTGCTTATATGTACCACACGTCGAACTTGGAGGTTTCTTGATGTTGTCTCTAGGAAAAAAGAATTATCAGTCATAAGGTGCACGAATTTCTCGGTCAACTATATGATCGAGAAGAGTGTCCCAACGAGAAGGGTTTAGCCTCATTAACTGTGATGTCTTGGAATTGAGGAAGTTGAGCAAAAAAACTAACACTACTTTGGAAGGTTTATTTCCGTATTCAACTAGAAACATTCCGTATAGATGTCCATAATCGTTCATTTTGTTTTCAAATATATATGAAGTATGTAATTTCCGTTCCCTGGATATGAAGAATATAACTACGAGTTCAAAAATGATGAACAATAATTCATTTTCATGGACAGAAGAAGTGAAAGCGATCTACATATTCATAAAATTAAGATATGTTCCATCCATAAACACTGAAGAAATTATGTAGTAGGATATTTTTGGGTTTGAGTGGAAGAGCAGCCTAACAAAGACTCAAATCCGCCCTTTTATTTCGATAACTGTTTTCGTAACTGTTTCATTGTAAAGAAATAAAGACGATTATATTTTTTTAACCGAAGTATGTGCTGGTCAGGGTCTATCCCCCGAATACCCGATGATACATTTGGAAGGGCGCGCCAGCATTATCAACCAACGAACATACCCCATATTGGGTCCGAGAATCATGTGCCCTGAGCAAGCGCAGTGAGCCAAGAATGACAGCCTTCTGCATCTGTCCGGCTAAGATTTCTGCCTCAGTGCGGCAGGCCGGTATGATTTTAAGATTCGAGAGTAGAGAGGGCATCATTTAACCAAGGACGCCTCCTCATTTCGGACGATATTAGTCTCGACAGGAGCTGAAAACTCCACGACAAATGTCGTTTTGTTCTGGTGGTCGAGAAGGACTACATCAGGCTTATTAACTTGTATGAGCCTGAGGGTGGGGAACAAATAATTCCAATAAATTCGGCACTTCTCGTTCCCAACAACGGATTCAATATCCCCCGGAGCGTATGGCACACCGGTGTCACGTAAATACCGTAAGAGTGCCGTAGATGGTAATATAGCACTCTTGGGGCGGCGTTATGTCGAAAGATATAGGCCGAGACCGCATATGCTGGACATGCTAATAGAAAGTGCATTAGGGTTTAGGGCGCCTCGTGGCAGACCCTGCACCTTGTTTCAGGAACCTCTATACCCATCACGCGACTGCGGTAGATTAAGGTGTTGAAGACGCTATCCTGGCAAGCCCTGATGAACCCCTCAGTTCCCGACTTCAGCCCATTCGACCTGAGGAAAGCGAAAGTCAGGCGCTTTGATAAGCCAAGGTCTCCAATGTTATTGAAGAAGACCCCATGCATGTGTTTTCGCAGAAGTGAGGTTATCTCTGCGGCTTCTACATGAGCTTTTTGCTGAACAGTTTCGAACTCGGTGACAGAGTTGTGGTCACCTCGTTCAGTGTCGAAAACTATACCGAGTACATCAGCTGCTCGGGTAGCTGCCCTAAAGAGAAATGCTCCAATTGCTGCTCTCTCATGGCCACGGACAATGCAGAGAAGGGGATCCGACTTTATAGGCTGTATCCAGTACCATTCTTTGATGGAGACACTCCAAACTTAAAAGGTCACGGCTTTTCTGTTGTCGGGGGAAGTTCATCCGTGGAACGCACGATTTGGGATGCAAACTCCTATAGAGGTGCATCATTTTTCGGGTCTTTACGTCGAGTTGATACAGATCCTACCGAGTCCACTTCACTACCCCAAACGAGTAGAGTAAGATTGGAACGGCAAGCATATTTGTTGCAGCAACTTTGTTCTTCCCCGGCAGTTCCGATGACCAGATCTGTCATTATTAGCATTACTACCATCTCTGTAATTATGAGTTGTGACAAAACTTGTCAAATTTTACATCAAACGAAGTATTTTGTTACAGCGTGTTTTCATTCTTTTCCAAAGTACATATACGAGGTATGTTCAAAAAATAAGGTAAATATTCATTTGTCTCATTCATACATTCATCAGATTCTATTTTGTTTCCTTCAGAGTAGTACCCCTTGTATAAGCGTTTTCTCTAATCCTCGAAGCAGTTCTGAATGCACTTCATGTTATATTCTTGAGCTCTCTCTGCGAATCGGTTTTTATCTCTCCAATCGTCACAAAACGCCATACTTTCATGGGCCTCTTCAATTTCGGAAACAGAAAAAAGTCACAGCGGGGCGAATCTGGTGAATACGGTGACTGAGGCATGGATATGTTGTTTCTGGTCCCTGAATAACGAACAATCAACGACTAGTGAGCAAGTGCATTTTTCCATAACACTGATCGCATTGCTTCTAGCAGGCGACCCATATCTTACTACTCCTTATCGACCATACGACTATGTGGCAAGAACTCTTGAGCCAACTGATATGCCAACATCCTCAGTGACTTCTCTTATAGTGATTCAACGATTCCCTGTAACAATTTCCTTCACTTTCTCAACATTTTTGTCAGTTGTTCATCTGCTGGGGCGTCCAAGGCGAGCATCTCATTCACATCTTCTCAAGCTTCTCTGAAGAGCTTGTACCACTTGTGAAATTTTTTCTGACTCACAGTACAATCATCGTATGCCACTGTCAACATTCAAATTGTTTTTGAGCACTTCATTCATTTTTTTAACCCAATTTTTCATCCATTTTTTGCGATAACAGAGAATCGTCGAAAACGCAAAACACTTGTAACTCTTATGTCTCTCACCAACAAACTGAACATGCTGAATAGCTGAAACTGTGAACATATGTTCGATACAAGTGCACCATCATAAAGAAATGAAAAATCATTAATTTAATGTACGTAGCCCGCGAAAATTGAACATTCCGTTATTTTCTGAACATATCTCGTATATCTGCAAAACACGATCTTGAAAAGTTTTTGTAGTTTTGAAGAATGAATTTCACCATTCCCAATGATCTTTTGAAACTTCCATAGTACTCTCAGTGATTATTCACCCAATCGAAGAATCACGATATTTTGGAAAATCTGCGAAACTGAGATATTTGTCATAATCTATGTGAGACACTAAACACTAGCGAATATACAGTCAGCAGGATTCCTCGACATTGCAGTATTTCAAACCGCATTAAACCTGCAGAAATTGCATTTACCAAACTTGCATCGAGTTAGCAACTCCCTCTTATTTCAACTGGGGCTTAAAAACTCAAAATCTTCTCGAAAACAAATTATGGGAACGAGTATATCAAGTTAGAGCTAACTATGGGTGATTTTCAACGCAAGAACAAGGTATTGTGGAATGAATGGGGTCCCTCTTTTTGTGACCGTAATCTATTGAAATAAGTGGGACAGCGCAGTCTTGAAGTTTTTAACCCTGAGAAGGAACAAGCTGCGGCGCGGCAATGTGATTTGTGAGGTTTGTGTTTTCGAGAGCACAACCAAATTTTTAGAATTACTCACTAGGTTTGGGCAGATTACTTCCAATTGGACCGAAGAACAAACTATAAAGAATATGGAAATATTTCGGGAATGAGAATAGTTACATGACACTCATAAAGACGTTGTTCAGCAAAACTATCTTATTACTTGCTTATAAGCAAATAGTGGACAAAATGAAATAACAAGCAAACAAGTATATATAGGGACTCGATTTATGGAGAAACATAAGGGATTGAAAATTGACATCAACCTGTGGAAGAAAAGAGAAGAATTGCAGAGAAAGAACATGAATTATTTTGAAAAATAATGATTCATTTACCTGAATATATAATCAATTGCATCATGAAAAAAAATTGATAGATATACACGAGGAATACTGAGATCTTGACAATGTTCGAATTTTGCAATTTTTAATTCACATATTAGTGAATGCAGAACACATTTGAGCAATATCTCATAGTTTCTTAGAGGTTATACCTTCTTCAGGAACTCACGAGACTATAATCGACTATGTGCATTTAAAGTAAGAACACATAAATTTTCATTCAAGTGTCACTTTTTCGTGAGATTTCCACTAGGTAGTTTACAAAACCGTATCACGTATTTCGCTATACAATAGCTCCTTCAAGTGTTTCCATTCGCTTGAGAAAGTGCCATCTCGAATAGCTTGGCAATTCTAGAGTTTTTGTTTTTGAAGATTTTCCTCTATTGCGTCATGAAAAATTTAAACGAAATAAGCGAATTTCGGTTCTTTTCTGAATCCTGCACAGTTTCCAACTTCTCCATGCTGATTTCCCTTCTCCTGGATGTGGAGTATTTAATAACTCATATATTATTTGACAAACTTCCGAACACAATTGATTTTCAACTGTTTCCTGATCCTCCGACTACTACTTTTTCAGATAAAAAAAAATTATAATTACCGTATGTCCTACCTAGTTTCTTGTATGGTCCTTCTCGGTATGTGCAGATCCTCGGGATCCAACAAATGCTCGGGTGAGTTCCACCCCTTCTCGCCACCCTTCACCTCCCCGCTCCACCCCTTCCGCCCAGAAGACGACGCGTCCACGTTGCTCTCCTCCTCTTCCTCGCCCTCCTGGTCGAGCTCTCCGCCTGGAACTACCCTGTACTCTCCATTCCGTCTCTCTACCACAACCGGCAGCTCCTGACTCGCACTCACACCACCGTTGACCTTGACGACGACCTTGTGGTTCATCTCGATTTTCTCGTAGTTGTCCTCTCGTCTGCACTCGCGAGTCCGCCACTTGAGCACTTGTTTTTTCCGCACTGAACAGATGCACAGCGATATGAGGCAAGATATCAGCACGAAAGCTATGCCCGTGATCACGCTGGCTATGAGCGCTTTGTTGGAGAAGCCGGTTTCAAGGGGTTTCTTCGAAACGGCCAGCGTGACGCTGGCTTCTGCTTTCCCCGCTTTGTTTTCTGCTGCGCAGATGTAGGTTCCGGCATCCTGGAGGTCTGCACTGAATATGGTGAGGTCGCTGGAGCTGTTGGTGAGGTGAACTATGTAGAGCTTCTTGGCTCCGGCTATTGAAGATCCCGAGAGATTTGCTATCACCTGTGAAAATTAATGTTTTTATGAATCATCAACCAGCCGTAACATCTCTCATAACTTTCATGGTTATCGTTTCAATGTGAAGAAAATCACCTACTTAGTCACTATTTTTGTGAATGTAAAACACTCGTCAATCTAGAAAATGAAGGACAGCAACAGAGAACATCATTAAGAATGCGTCTGTTTTAAGATGATGGGTCCAAACTCCTGGCATAACGTATACACACTTTCTGTGCATGCATTTAAGAAAATCCTTATGTTCGAAGTCTATTTTTCAGATAACTAGCAATCACTTCCTTACAAACGACAACCCTCAGAAGGTGAAACTCGTGCGATCTGAGTATCAACGGAGAAAACGCAATAAGTGTTTCTAGGCTGAAGTGTTATCGGAAAATTAGAAGAAATGGATAACTTAGACCTCTCCCAGAAAGCAATAAAAGGATTTACAGTGTTTTAGCTTCCAACGTGAGATTTCAAGAAGAAAAAGTTATCGTATGTTCCTTGAGACCGTGGGTTGGGCTACCTATCGGGTGCGTCCCCAGGTGGCGGACACGGGAACGGCCAGGGGACTGAGAGCCCTCTCCGGGAAACCAATGTGGCCTTACGAACGTGGTCGCCGGACTCCTGGTCAGTGGCAGGAATGAGTAGGGTGAGGAGAACCGAAACTCCCCAAAAGCCTTTGCGAAACATGCCTACCCATGCTGAGGTGTAAGGTATCGTGCCGACAGGTGAATGGCGGCAGGGTGATATGCGGTTACGTACGATCCCCTTAGGAACCCAGGCGAAACTTCATTATAATCAGCCTTTCTCTGGTAATGCGGGGCTCTGCCAGAGTGACCAACTCTTTCCTTGCTACTCGTCCGAACACACATGAATGAAACAAACACAAAAACAGAAAAAACAAAACCCAAACCCGAGGCTGGACAGAAATGCCCACCTCAATCTATGACGATGGCTGGAGATGAACAGAAGTGTCCACCCCAATCTAGCGCTCGGAATCAGGCTGGACATGGCAGATCACCTCGTGATATAAAACAAAGGCCAAAGCGTAAGCGCATTTGCGGCGTCGAGCCAAAAGGAGAAAGAGAGCGATAGAGGCAGGTGTGGCAGCAACTATAAGTGCACCCTTCCCCTCCCCCACCCCACCCCCAACAGCAAGGGCACTTCCTGCGGAGGGAGCCAAGAGCTCCGCCTTGAATGAAGGCAAGGAATCGGCTGCCCCTGCAGGAAAGCTCCCTCTTTTGTGCACCTCCACGCAGGAAACCCCAAAAAGGTTGAAGAAGCCGCGCAATGACAGTAATATCGCTGCACCTTCCATAACCTTCACGATGGCCGCCGTAAGACACCTCAAGGTTGCCAAAGAGAGTGTGTGTTCGGCGAGTGTTGGCCTTCAACTGCCGATATGGAGGAGATGTCTCCTAGTGACCTGTACACCTTCCTGGAAAGGACAGAATGGACGATGACCTAGGAGGACAACTCCTCGGGAGGATGTACAATGGGTCACATGTGGCCTAAGTGATGTGGGTCTACACTCAACCTCCGTACTCTACAGATACAGATGTCCCTTGAGCTCGAACCAGCGTTCCACATAGCGGTAGATTGAAATAATATAACTATCCTACCACGCTAACGTACTCTTGTAATATGTGTAACATTTTTTTTCTGCTATTGCTATTGGTATCAATAGTTATATTCTACAAATATTCTATTTCATGATACAACACAATATCTAAACATTCTTTACCTTATTTTTCAACATCCACCTGACGTTAGGCTCTGGTACTCCAGCTATCTTGCATGTCATGGTGACATTTTTTCCTTCGATTCCATGAGCCTTACTGTCGTAAGCAAAAATTTCAGGAACACAAGCATACTCGTCTAGCTCTAGCTTATCCCAAGACTTCATATGTAACCTCTTGGGACTATAACACATCGGTGGTACCCCAAACGGAACATTCTGCCGTAGCATCCACTCCCTCAGAGGTCTGAGAGAGCAAGAACAGTTCCAGGGATTCCCAGCCAGCTCCAAACCGTGCAAACTCTGAAGCTTCGTGAAAGATCTCGCAGCTACTTCGAAAAGCTTGTTGTTGTCCAGCCTCAACCACTCCAGTGACTTTTCCAGGCCAGAAAATGCTCTCGGTTCTATCAAGGATATTTTGCAGTCAGATATTTCCAGTCTTATAAGTTGCGGAATGTGCATGAAAGCATCGTTGAAAACTTTTTGGATGGGGTTGCCGTTCAGTTTCAGCTCCCTCAGCTCTGTGACAGATTCAAAAGTATGGGAAGGAACATTAGAAAGAGCATTGTAGCTCAGGTCCAGCTCAACTAAGTTGATGAGATACTTGAAAGAATACCTCTCCAGCGTTTTAAGCCTGCACCTCGTGATGTATACTTTTTGTAAGTTGACCAAGCCAGCTTTGCTGAATTCCTCGTGTCTAATGGATACTATATTATTCCCCGTCAAGTCCAACACCTGGGTACTAGGGTCCAGTTGGAGCGGTATTACTGTTAGGGTTGCGTTAACGCATACTACAGACTCTTTTCCGCTCTTCCATTTGCATTCGCAAAGGATGGGGCAGACTGCAAGGGATGGTTGAAGAAGACAGCTGAGGACCATCAGGGCGAGTAGTGTCAGATGTGACATCTTGAAAGGAGTTGGTGGTTGTCTATCTGATTTTGTTGTCGTCGTTTTCTTCATCTTCAGTCTCCATGTTATCTTTGGGAGAGGAAGTAGTGGGATGATTCAACTGAAAAATGAAAAAATGCGATTCAGTCAAGATACAGCCGTATCTACTAATATTCATAACTGAGTATTCAAATGGTGTATCGTGTTTTAAATAAGCAAAACTGGGTCTGTATCATTCACAAATATTGTTTCCAAAACTGAATGGTAAACAGTATGTCATTCAATTGATATAAAAGTAATGCACATGTTCCAACGAAAGTACCATTCAATTGCTTGAAAATCAATAAAAAAAAGAATTAGTTAGGCTGGCATTAGTCATATTTTCAGATTCGGGACTGCTGAATAATTCATTTATTCAGAAGACTTGACTTTAGCTTACGGTATATTCAATGATAACGAATTAATGTTATATGGAATGAATATGATTGTATACATTGTTTTGGGCAAGTATCAGTGTTTGTGATAACTCAGAGCAAAGTCCGATTACAGAAAGTTAACCATCTTTCGAAACAATCTGTTTTACTGACCGACTTGGCGTCGTCTTCATTAGGCACCTTTAGTCTACTTCATTTCCTGAAGACGAGACAAGTTGAGACAAGTGTTATTTCATCTCTAGTGTTTGGGAGCGAAAATCTTCATGGTTTCATTCTCCACGATAGGTTCCGGTTCTACCATTCAGTAAAACAGTTTTGGATAGAGAATTAGAAAATCTGACAAATGAGTTAGGAGGGGAGACGTTTCCCATCCGAACTGTGTGAGAAATGATTTTATTTATTATGTGCTGATCAATGTCAGGTTTTGTATCTCCCAGTTGTTGAGTACATATTGCAGAACGGTGTGGGCATACTGATGCATACAGTGTGTTTCACTTCTCATGGAAACACCACCGTATCTTTCGTAATATTCGAGGTGGAACAATGAAACTCTCAGGACTGATGGAAATGCTCAAAATGCACCTACCACCTGAATGGGGTTGGCCAAAGTTATATACACTGTCCGCCTCTCGCGATAGAACACCCCAGTTTTACGATAAAACATATTAGGGGGCAAAATAGGCTCAAAATTCATTCACATTCGTGATCAGGACTACCAACTTACTACAAATCCACTTTTTTCCTGAGAAAATTTCAGTCCTGAAAAATCCGAATTTGTCTGACTTCTTATGGGAACACCCCCGTATCTTCCGTAATATTCGAGGTGGAACGATGAAACTCTCAGGACTGATTAAAATGCTCAAAATGCACCTACCACCTGAATGGGGTCGACCAAAGTGATATATACTGTTCGCCACTCGCGATGGAACACCCCATTTTAGGTAAAACATATTAAGGCGCAAAATAGTTCGCTTCCAATATCTGAACGCCTTCATTCTCTCTGAAGAGTACTCTCAGGTATGGAAGATACAGATGCTGTGAGATGCTATCATCCATTTTGAGCCTATCTGAGGAAAATGTCACAGTACCACATTCTCAGATTATCGAGATAGTGTGAAGCAGTGTATGAAAAATTATTGATGGCGGCATCTATTATAACTGAAGAAGATTATTCGTAAAACTAATTCTGGTTGCTGAACATCCAAATTCTATCCCAACCAGAAGTGAGAGCTCTCGATTGATGAGCAAAAATTGAAAAAAATGGTAAAAATCTATATTCAAAGGTTCACATCTCGAAAACTGTACAATTCTGAGCTTTGGCTGTGGACACTTTCAGTCAGCACATCAAGAACTACAACATCAACATTTCGGCAAAATTCAAAGCAAGGCATTTCTCATAAGAAATGTGCGGGGTCCTTTATCAAAATATTGAGGAAACATTTTACCATCCGAAACAAAATTATTCTTCATACTCATTGCAACACCGAAATAACTGTTGATTTTTTAAAGAAAAAATCGCACTCGGTGAACAGGTATAATTTAGATTATTTCACCTACTTGCTGAATTGTTGTCTGAAACATCAGTTTCACTGAATCATGCGGTGCCCTGAAATCACCATGGAAAACAGTTGCTCATTGATATTTACTGACAACCTGACAATATTGTTGTGTTAACCCCCAGACCAGTTTCCATTCCATTTGTTGTTTCTAGTATTGTTGTTCTTTGAATCACCGTTGTTCCTGTTGTTTCTGCCGTGTTTTTGTTCCCATTGTGTTTATTGTTCCTGTATTTGTGTTGGATATTGTCCCTATGTTCCAGTTGTTTTCTGTTCGTGAGTTCCTGTTCATATTTTAATATTTCTGAAGTTCCCATTTTAACTGATATCAGCTCATTTTGATTGACAAAGTTATTTCATTCGACTCCAAATATAATTTGAGAATTGAATCCAGAGTTCTAACCACTAATAGAAGAAACTCCCCACAAATTAGTGCGACAGAAATATTTGAAATGTTAATTACTTTTATTCCGTTAATTATTAACACACTCTTGAAAAATATATTTTTTAACCACATTACAAATTTGTAGTGAGTTACAGTTGTTTCACTCTATCATGATATTTCATAACGGACTCTCGGTTATTTAACTTCAATGATTGAGTTTGTCATTTGGGGACATATTATTTTGGAGTAGTAAATTTTCAAGACTCACTAGCGATTGAAAATAATTGAAAGGTGTAACGTTATGAATTTGCTCTTCCGTGATTGGTCTCGAAACAGTGAGTTATGAATCTGATCAATTATGATTGGTTCAAAGGTCTGAATCATGAATTATTTTGGCTACTCACTCAAAAAGTTACGGTTGAAATAATTGATGTCTTTTTTAACAGTCATAAAAAACAGAAATTGATAACTGTTACAAGGATCATTTGACCTTTATTCCAATCTGATAATTCAATCACACCTCGTTTAGAGGTGGAAGTAACAAAGTTGAAAATGAGGCTGAAATATTTTCTCTCCGAAGAGAGGTCCGAGTGATTTTTTAATAAACGCAAACATATAGAATTCAGCTTTGTATGAATTATGAGACTGAGGAATATGACTGTGGATTTTCTTTCAGAACTTGATTCTTCAATTCACTTGGCAGAAAATTTGTTTTCTTGTAGTAATAATTGAATATATTGATCACAATAGATTACAGGTTTCAATATCTTATGATTTCCAAGCTCTATTGAAAGAAACACTGATGAAGATTATATTCCTCAAATGAAATTATTCTCCGGAATGAATCAGTGAATTACAACAAAGGTCGGTGCAACAATATTTGATAACGAGGTTCGAATGAAAAAATTATCGATAGGAAACAAACGAGTGCCCCAACGCTAAACTACAATCGTACTTTTTCATTGAAATCAAATCGGTGAGTGAATTCATATTTTCCACTTGACATTCATAATATACGACCAATATTCAGCGTGAATTATGGCAATGAAAGATTGATTGATCGAATTCATTAAATTCCAAACCCAATAATAGTTGATTTGGTCGCCGAACCTTTCCGAAATAATAGCATCACATTTATTTTCCTATGAACCATTTAATTCGCTCTCATCAATAACCAACGATTTGGATCGCAGCGATTGGAGTACAGAAGGGCATTTGATGTATAATGAGACGTAGTACCAAATTAGATCAATACTGAGGAAATTGAAGAAAAATTAGAGCAGTCATATTATTCCGGACATTCGACTATTCATGATAATTTTTTACTCAATAAATAAAGTACATGCAATGCTGAAATGTGTGAGTTCATTTCTGACTACTTGAAAAACATTACTGGAAATAAGGATTTTGTGTGAAATAGTGTTTTTGCTCGAAACATTACAATTTTACTGCCGCAGCATTCAATTTCTTCTTGTGTTCTTGAATAATTTTCCTTTTATGAATTATGAATAACGGAAGTTGCTTAAACATTTCTACAATCTGAAAATTAACTAGAAATAAAAAATTCATAAAAACCAAAAAAATATCAAATTCAATAAAAACTGAAAGGAGAAATTCCGTAAATCCCCCTAGGGGAAAGTTATTTAGATCGGATCATATCGATTTTCCTGTAGAACAGCGTTTCCTCGGGTTTCAGTACGTATTCTTCCTGCACGGTTTTGACAGAAGAATCGTCTTACCTTATCCAGCAGTTGTAGCCGACGTGGAAGGCATCGGTCACGTAGTATCCAATGTTGGCATTTTTGCCTTCGTGGTAAACGACGGCGAATATCTTGTATTGCTTCTCTGTTAGAGACTGTGTTTCCAACGATACCAAAGTCGAATCAATCTTCGAGTTGAATTCAAAATCCAAAGCCTTGATTATCTTCGTGGAACGGTCGTGGCTGTATCCGAAAAACTTCAGATGCAAAATGAGGATAACGGGGAGTTTGCAGGGCGTAATTTGCTCCCAAGTTTCGACTTTCTTGTTCGTTTTCGACGAAGTCTGCCCCTCTAAACTGTTCTTGGAGACGAGAACCTCAAGCGCTTTTCTGATAGTCTTCACTGTCTCGAAGATGAGTGGCAGGGTGAGGAAAGGCTGGATATTCTTAGTAATGCTCGACTTCAGTTTCCCCCGAAGATGTCACTTATCGGTGTACTTGTGAAGTCGATCCTTCTGGTTTGATGTCCTTTATTTTTCGATTCCATTAAGTTTCATTGCTCAAAGCAGAGTCAACGAGAGGTTTTTCGTCTTCAATATAATATTCAACCAACTCATTTAGCTCAAACATTCAAATGAAAACCTAGAAACTCTTCCGCATCTTGTTGTCCACCATCGGTCCAGTCAGTCCGCATGTTATAAATCCACGTAGGACCGAATGGGATGCCAGTGTTGATTAAAACTTCTTGGTCATTCTTGGAATGTTTATCTACTCTCCCGTCTTCCGTCAAAATGTAGAAAGGTAGGTGAACAAACCAGGGTAGATGTCGTCATTCTCTCGTTCGAAGAGATGTTTTCTCTCAGAATGTTCAATAAGTTGTAGAGTGGTGAACATGCGATCAGGGCAAAATCGAGTTGATTAAGCAGACCCCTTGGCTGCAAGTTCACTGCTTTACCGTCGATCATGTATGTAGATAGAAACAGGACTATCCTATAACAGTCTGGATCTAAAAACTGGTGGGACTTTTTGGAGTGCTTGAAAGGGCT